CATGACTGTCTCATTTCTCTTGTTTTGGGGGCAACTAAGAAAAAAAAGAAAAGGAACATTAACAATTTCATTGTTCACAGCTTCCTCAATTTCAGATACTGAAGCAGAGATTCTGATCAGGGAAGTTAAATGACAATACTTGACCAGAAATCTAAGCCTTCTGACTCCTAACCTTGTACTTTTTTCTAGTAGAGGGGAGATTCATTCTATGCAAGATTTATGGAACACACCGACGGTCACAGTATGTTTTTTTGAAAAGGTAGAGTGATGCAGCGAAAGGACACACACACACACACAGATCTACCGCCTCAAATGACTGCAACACCTAGGTCAAGGTCAGGCTGAAGTCAGGGATTGGGAATTGAGCCATAGTCTCCCTCAGGGTTGGCAGAAACCCAACTATTGCTATCATCACTTGCAGCTCCCTAGTGTGTGCGTTAGCAGGATCACTGAAATCAGAAGTAGAATCAGGACTTAAACACAGGCACTTTGATATGGAATATAGGTGTCCCACTCCAGCTTTATCAAAACCTGCTCCTAATTTTTGAACATATTAATTCCTTGTAAAAGAAAACCCGCATAATATTAACAGTTCCAGGCCTTTGCCTATACAACACCTTGCAATCACGAACCTATTTTCTGTTTCTATCAGGTAGATTATTCCTAATATTTCATAGACATTTCCCTCTGAAAGCTGTTTTAGCAGTATCCCATAAGTCTGAGTATGTTACTGATGTCACTTCCCTTTCAAAGTACATTCTAAGTTCTCTTATGATGTCTTCCTTGACTCTGGTTAATCAGCAGCGTGTTCTTTAATTTCCACATGCTTGTGAATTTCCCAGATGTCTTTGTGTTTCTGTGATCTAATTTAATTCCGTGGTGGTCCAAGAATTTGTCAATCATTTTCAATTTATTGAGATTTATTTTATGGTCTAGTATATTATCTATCCTGGAGAATGTTCCATGGGCATTTTAGAAGAACATGAATTCTGTTGCATATAGTAATATATATTTGATTATAGTATTGTTCATATACCTTATTTACTTGATAGTCTTCTTGCTAGTTATTCTGCCCATTAATAAGGTGAGATATTGATGTCTTCAACTACTATAGTAGTTTGCCTATTTCTCTTGAGTTCCACCAGTTTTGCTTCCTGTATTTTAGTGCTCTGTTCTTAGGTGCACATTAATAACTATGTTTTATCAGTGTGTTGAACTTTTTGTCATAAAATATCCTTTCTCTTCAATAATATTTTTTTCTTAAAGTCAGTTTTATTTGCTGATATTATTATAACCATTCTAGTTCCTACTTAGTTACTGATTGTATAGTAAATATTTTTCCTCCATTTACTTCTAGTGTATTTTGTCTTTGAAACTAAATTGATTCTCTTTTAGGCAGCAGAGGGTTGTATCATATTTTACCTAAAGCCATACTGCAAATCTCTATATTTTAATTATAGTGTTTTATTAAGATGCTTAAGGTAAATTTACTGGGAAGATCAAAATGACATCTACCACTTTTCTATTTCCTATATGCCCTGCATATATTTTTCTTCCTTCTTTACTCAATGCTTGCTTCCTTCATGTTAAATACATATTTCCAGTGTGACATTTAAATTACCCTCTTTTCTTTTTTTAAGATATATCTAATTTTTTATTGGAAAGTCAAATTTACAGAGAGAAGGAGAGACAAAGGTCTTTTTCAAGTTGCTGGTTCACTCCCCAAGTGGCCACAATGGCTGGAGTTGAGCTGATCCGTAGCCAGGAGCCAGGAGCTTCTTCCAGGTCTCCCACATTGGTGCAGGGTCCCAGGGTTGTTCTCTACTGCTTTCTCAGGCTGCAAACAGGGAGCTGGATGGGAAGCAGAGCAGCCACGACACGAACCTGTACCCATATGGGATCCTGGCACATGCAAGACAAGGGCTTTAGCCACTAGACTACTGTGCTGGGCCCAAATCCCTTCTTTTAAAAATAGTTTTATTTGGAGTTATTTCCTAGTGGTTATATTGAAGGTCAAAACTGATTTTACATTATAACAATTTGGTTTAAATTATATATAAAACTTTGCTATAATATAGCTCTGGTCTTTTCCTTCTTTTTTGCATACAAATTGCCTTTACATACAAGTCCATCAACATATTTTTATAATTACTAGCTCATGCAGTTGTTTTTTGAAATAAGCCAGACACAGAAAAACAAGTATTGCATGATCTCATTTATCTGTGGAATTTTTCATTAAAAAGATACAAAGCAGGGTTACTAGGGGCTGGAAAGGAGATAGCCAATGTGGACTATCAAAAGAAGCAGAGTGACACATGTGCAGAATGAATAAATCTAGACATCTAATATACAAAATGAGGGTTGTAATCAATAAAATTGTATTGTATTAGTAAGTAGAGCTTAGCTTTTTTTTTCTCAAGCAGAAAGGTATGAGATACTAGATATGTTAATTTGGCTCACTCTAGAAGCCATTTTACTTTCTGTATGTATCCACAAAAAATCATGTTATAAGTATCAAAAATATACATAATAAAGTTTCTTTGAAAAAGCAAATAATAATGAAAATGAGTTTATCTTTGGAACTTGTTACATTTTTATCTTTATTGATATTCTGCAATTGGTAAAAGGATTTATTTATTTAAAAGGAAAGCAAGAGAGAGAGGAAGAAGCAGAGCATAAGATCTGACAGCTGCTGGCTCATTCCATACATGCCCACCACAACCAGGTTTGGGCCAGGCTAAAGCCAGGAGTTGAGAACTCCATCCAGGTCACCCACATTGGTGGCAGGGGTCCAAGCATTTAGGTCCTCTTCCATTGCCTTCCCACGTACAATGGGGAAGCTGAACTGGAAGCTGAACAACTAAGATTTTAACCAGCACTCAGGTGTTGAATGTTGGCATTGCAAACAGCTGCCTGTTCCACTATAACATAACACTAATAATTGGTTTTCTTTATTTTTATGTGAATTTGAATTACATTCAGTATCCTTTCATTTCTCCCTGCAGGATTCTCTATTTCTTTTAGGACATATCTGATAGAAATTAATGCCTTTATTTGGTAATGGGGTTATTTCTCCTTCACCTTTGATAATGGCAGTTACGAATGAGAAAAAATAATTTTGTTCTGTTTCATTAAATAGTTTGATCTGATATAGTCTGTAGGTGTTTGCTACTCGGCTCTGTGTAAGTAAGCTGCTCTCCCAGGCAGTTCACAGCTTTAGCTTCACCTTCCCTGGGTGCTAACACAAGCTCAGCCAAGGATGAGAAATCAGGGCCTTCCCGCGTCATTTATCAGAAAACACCTAGCCCTGAACATGTTCTGGCTAAAATTCCCCTGGAATATGTCACAGTTTTTTTTTTCTTTAAAAACCAGAACAAAACTGAAAAACAGAAACAAAAAAAAAGCCCTATGGATGGCTAAAGTCTACAGCATTAGAGAAGCTAATGCTCTCTAATGGCTACTAGATTGCCATTTTTCACAGATTTTATGTGTGACTGTTGATTTTCAAGGCTACTTGGCGCTGACAGGGAGAATGGAAATATGGCAAAACTAATGCACCAGCAACCTTAGTATTCTCATGCTATTCAATCAGTTTTCTTGAATAAATGCTTCTTGGACTGTTGTAAGCGTGGGTTGTTCGCAAATTCCAAAGAAGTCAGTTTGCAGCAAACATTTAGTCCAGCAGTTAAGACACTTGTGTCCCATGTTGAAGAATCTAGGATTCATCCTCAGCTTCAATACATGACTCCAGCTACCTGCCAATGCCAACCCTGGAACGATGATTATATTTATCTCTTTCATTGTCTCTGTGCTTTTCACATAAATTTATCTGAAGAGTTGATCATAAATGATCCAGTTTTCTTGGCTGACTTTTTGATCATGTGTAGGACAATAATGGTTTCTAAACTATGCTCCGTTTGAGGATAGGGAGAATGAAAAACTGTTGAGATTCTGCAGATGCAAATTAAACACATGAAAATATTTTAACTAGCAAGCCATGGAGTGTAAATTAAAACTGCAAAAATATGTTACTAGAAATTCACAAGAACGGCTAAAATAAAAGGTAGTGAAATGCCAAACACTGGTGAGGATGTGGCTTAAGAGAAACACTGGTATTTTGCAAATGAGAATGTAAATGTCATATTGGAAAATAATAGGACAGTGCCTACAAAATTAAATACATGATTTTCATACAATTCAGCAGTCATATTGTATTGCTCATCACAACCCAAGAAATGAAAATTTACGTTCACACAAAAACCTGCCTGTGAGTGTTTATAGTAGTTTAATGAGCAAATAACCAAAAACTGGAATCATCTCACCAAGTCCTCCAACAGATGAATGGTTAAAAACACTGTGATACATCTGTATCATGGAATTCAACTTGGTAATATAAAGGAGCAGATTATTGATACATGTAGTATGTTGGATGAATCTTCAGGGAATCATGCTGAACAAAGGCAATTCCAAAATGTTACAAACCACATTTGATTTTAGCCAAAAGGCAAGAAGCAAGCGATTCCACATTGTTACGTACTATATGATTTCATTTAGGTAACATTCTTAAAATACCAAAATTACAGAGGTGGACGACAGATTATTGACTGCCTAATCTTAGGGGTGGGGGAAGGCATGGCTGTAGCCATAAAGGGGTAGCACAAGGGAATCCCTTTGGTGAGGTACAGTTCTGCATCTTGACTGTAGCAATAGTCATAAAAATGCACACGTGGATAAAATTTTATCAGACTGCCCACGTGTGCACGCACACACACACAAATGAGTGCATGTGAAAGTGCAAGATGTGATGCTTTGGACGGAACTGTGTAAAGGACACATTAGTACAAGTGTCACTGTTTGTATGTTTTCAACTTCCTGTAAATCTGTAATCATTTTAAAATAAAAATTAGAGGCAATATTAAGGAAAAAATGAAAACAACTATTTCATATCTCACAATGCCCTAAAAAGGAAAATTAACTTTCTTTTTTTTTTCTTCCTACAGGATCTGTACCTGCCTCTGTCCTTGGATGACTCAGACTCACTTGGTGATTCCATGTGAAGGAAGAGAGAATGTTGAGTCCAGAGTAACAGTCTACTGTTAAAGTAGAGTACTTTCGTTCAAGAATCCAACAGGGCTATTGGTGCTTTCAAGGTTTTGTTGTTGTTATTACTTTCAAAACACATTGTAATATGTTGGGTTTATTTTTCTGTGATTTCTCCTCTAGGCCACTGATCCACAGTTACAATTATTAGAGATAGATTGATAACCATCCTTTGGATTAACTTTCCAGGAGTGCATAATGTGCTAGTCCATGACCTTTCTACTGAATGCTTAGGCATCTTTGTTATTTTCTCCTGTGTCACTTTCCCCATATATTACAGTCTTTCCTCTGTAGAGTGCTCTTTGTATATGTGGCACTTAAAATGTTTGTGTGGGGAAAAAAATCTCATTGGAGGACCCAACAATAACAATCATAAGTGCCCCTTGTCTTCTGATCTCAAGAAAGCAGTAGGATCCCAGGGGGACAGCCCAGGCAGCTCCCCAGCCTTGGCTGTAGATTCTGATAAAGCTCCCAGTGTGTTGTCTAGCACCAGTTCTGGTTGTCAAGGACGGGGAGAAACACCAGCAACTTATCACTGTGACGCCAGATGCTTAGGGCTATAGTGCAGTGCTAGGCAGAAGTGGAGGAATTACTACGGATAGTTTTCAGTAGGATTTACAAAGCACAGTGACTTCCTGGCCATCCTCTCCACTGGAGTAATTTGGAATCAATGAGCAACTGTTAAGAGTTTGGGGCAAGGGAACTCCATATACCTGATCCCTCTGGGAAGTTAACATACTGAGTTACTAAATGAACGGTATGGTATCTATCTATCTCTGTTCTATTGAATGCCTTGTAAACAGCCAACTCTGAAAACACTGTGAGAATTTGTTTTCAGGTCTGACACCTTTCCGTCGCTTTTTATAGCAAGAAATCAATATCCTTTTTATAAAAGCTCATGTCTGTATTTCAGGAGCAAACTCTTCAAGCTCCTTTTTTATAAACTGGTGATTTTTCTTTTGTCTAAAAAACACATGCAGAAAACTTACCGAAAAAAAAAAGCAGAAGAATAATGTAGCTTAGGAATCCTGCTGTCACTGCCAAACAGAAACCTCCAGGACAAAAAACGTATAGTAGAGGCCAATTCAATAGAATCAGTGTTTTGATAGCTTTTTAACAGTTATGCTTGCATTACTAATTTCAGTGTGGACCAGACATTCTAATTATATTTTAAATGAAATGTTACGGCATATTTTAAACAACTCTTTTTTACCTATGATCCTAATATTTCCTACGGAAGACATGAAAACCTTTCCCTTGTCTTTAGCATTGGAAAGGATTTCACTTTACTAAGAACTGATCACTTAAAAATAGTCCTCAGTCTTTGAGGCACCGGTTCATAGCACTGCTTTTTGTCTTCAATCATAGCCCATAATGGCAAAGACAACACAACTTAAGGGAAAGCCATGCATGCCAATTCTGTGTTTGCTTTTTAGCAGATATGAAGTTTCTTTGTAAGTGTTGAGACATTTTTTAAAGTGCATCATTCAAAGCCAAGCTGTTGTGGCTACTGAATGACTTGCAGGAATCCCTCCACCCTAAACAGAATGAGCTTATTGTGTGTGTGTGTATGTGTGTGCGTGTGTGTGTATGCGCATGTGCATACATGTACATGTGCACTCGCATTTTTTGATTAAGAAGTACTACAGGATACCCTAATGTGGGTCAGTGGCAACTTGGTGACATTGCTGATGTGCATTGTGTAGGGATTAGCCCAAAGATGGAAGGGGTAAGTAAGATGCTCCTAGATAAGTTTCACATGTCCTGAGCTACCACACATGTTTTTGGTTCTGAGGTGAGATGATGATAACACTGGATTCTGGATAAAATCAGTAAGAACCACAAACTATTAGGCCATCTTTTTGACATTTTGTTTATCTGTAGAGTCATTCAAAATCATTCAGAAATACATTTTTCTCAGTCCATATTCTTTCTAGAAGCTCAGGATTTTCTTAGTGCCTCCCTGCCTGAACCGTTTGTGTTAATTGGGGGAAAAAAAATTTGGTACTTGGGATGAGGAAGATGGGAATGGACAGCAGTGGGAGATCTGACTTCAGGCCAGACCTCCCAAGCACTCCACCCATGACAGTTTTTGAGCTCTCATTGAATCTAGTACTTTCATTTTAAGATGGGTTAACAGGCCTGCAGGACCAGAAGGAAGCATCCGGCTTCCCTAGGCTCAGGTTCCAGGTTAGCTCCCTGGGCACTTCCTTTTCTGTGATCTATGTACCACCAGAAAATACTAAATTGACATATTTTTCTTAGAAGGATCTTTGAATAATATTTTGGGCAGTAGCACATTATGCATCTTTCTTTTCATCAATCACAAGGAAATTGTTCTAAATTGCCGCTTCAAGGGGGATTGGTGTAGTTCAAAATTCAGGCCTCCAATTAAATTACATTTCAAATGGGCTCTTTTTTTTTTTCAAGTGCAAACATTTTGTTTGTAACTGAGCTTGTTCACCCAGCATTTATTCTGTTTTACTGAATTCATCTGTACCTCTCCAGTCCCATTGTGTTGGTTTCTGCACACTGAGCAAATGTCAAGTCGGCAAACATTTGCCACCACTCCCTGTACTTCTTCCTTTCCCCCTCTCTCTCTCACACACACACACATATGCAATCCATCTGTTGCTCCTTTCTGCCTCCTGAGTTTTCTTCCCTAAGGAAACAGAAATAGGGACGACAAAGGGGAAATGTATATATATAGGGGCTGGGCTGAACTACTTACGTCATACATAGTTTTAACTAGGAGTAAATTTAGAGAAAAGCTCCTTTTTCTCTTCATGTTTTGGAAAGGATAGCCATTAGCATGACTGCTTTGTGTCCTTACAGACTTTAGTCATAGCCTAGATTGAATCATAGAGTTTCCTAGCTGGAAGGAACATTAAGATCACATCATCTAGTCTAAATTCCTAATTTTTCAAGCCAGGAAATGGAGACATAGAGGTAAAGTCATTTCCCCAAGGTCACACAGCTGGCTTGGGGCAGGGCTAGGATTAGAACCCACATCTCCTGGATTTTATTCCAAGGTTGTTTTCCACTAAGCACTGCTGCCTTTCTACTAGGCTCCTGAGAATTCTTTCCCAGGGTCATGTTGCATCTTGGAACCATATGCTGCTTTCCTGATCTCAGCGGGAAATCCATCCAGCAACCTAATACAGCCCTTTCTCCCTGCACATGGGCTGCAGATGTCCCTGAAGAGAGGGAGACACCAAGGGCCAGTAGCAACAATGGGGTCCCTGATATTCTCTCTCCAGTTCAGGGAATCAATGCTCCAACGTGAGGAACCCTCCAAATGTCCCCCACACCCAAAGTACTGCTCTCTCTGTATGGATTAGAAGAAACCCAGTTTTCCCTGGCAGCTTATTTTATGTCATCCCATACTTGTTGATCATCCCAGGCAAAGGGGTATGATTCTTATTTCCAGATTAAGAAAAGGAAGAAAGGACGAGTGGCACCATCGTTTTGATCCTTCTGACTTTCTGAGATGGTTTTATAGCACTTTCAAAACTAGTACGGCTACCATTCACTGGCAAGGATTTGTTTTACAATATTGGACTGAGATAAGCCACAGCAAATAACCTGATCTTGCTGTGGTTGCCCTCATCCACAATATCCCCTATCCCATCCTGCCATGACAGGGAAAATTTCCTGAAATAAGGATGGGGCTGGGGGCTAAAATGTACCCTGGCGTATGGCAAATATTGGCTCTTTCTGTTTGCACCAAAATAGCATGTTGTATGCTCTACCCACTGTACCCATCTTGTGTACACTGATCCTGTGGCCTTCCATGGCAGCCTAGGTAATGAGGTCTGAACACGTAGTTTATGTGCTCGCTTCGGCAGCATACATACTGAACATGTAGCTTTCCTCATAGCTAAAGGGTAACTAAAGGGTAGTCATTAGTTCAGTTTAAAGATACACACTCCACAAGTATTTCTCCTTTTCTGATCCTCCTCCTCCTCAATGACCAGTAGACAAGGAGCCTTAAAGTAACTATCTGAAAAAGACAAGAAGATAAGACTGAGCCCTTAAATCCTTCTTAGAACCTCCTAGACCAAGCATTAAATCAGCTGTCCAGGGTTTGCTTCAGCTAAAATTGTGTCTGTTTTCTTAGTCCCTTCAATGCTATGTGTAGAGATCCACAGATTCCCTTCAAATCTGAGTCTTAAATGGTTTGAAAAAAGAAAAAAAAGACACATCGCCTTGGAATAAGAAAACAAGCATGCTCATTTCCCCCAGAATGAGCTCTGGCATATCCATGGGCAACTTTCCCAAGTTCAACCCACCTCAGAAGCATCTGTGCCAAGACGCTCCCTGAGATAGAAATGCAGTGTGAAGGAATAGAGTGGTTTCATGACTGCCTTCATGGTGCTCCAATTTGTTGTTAAGAAAAAAAGCATTGGATGTTTCTTTTAAAAAATATCATTGGTATTTGTCCTGGGCCCATATAGGGTCACTTGGATCCATGGCCAAACTTCTCACATGCAATGCCCTCACTACATTAAGCAGTTTGACGTTTCTGTGTCATCTGTGACAGCATGCAGTCCTTTGTTTTAGGTATTGGACTCGAGAGATGGCAAGTATTTGAATGTTGGCCCAGCCCTTGATAATGTTAGAAATGATCTAGGACCTTCTGTCTGTAACAAAGGGTCTAAGCTTCCTGGGTCTCTTTCTCTCAGTATGACATTTAGAAGTCACCACACCTATAATTCTACCCTGTCAAGGTGATCCTATATGTAAGCCCATCCACAGTTTTATGAAAATAGTCTCATAAACTTTGCATGTATGTCTAACTGGAGCAAGGGTTCTTCATACGAAACATTTGATTGTAGAAGCATCTCCATCTGCTTCTCCTGATGCTCGTGGCCCAGACCCAGTCTAGTGTTACAATTCAGTGGATTGTCCTTCAGTTTACCCTAAAGGCTACACTTTTGAATGAAGACAATGTAGGTCATTTCTTTAAAAATGAGTTCCCAAGTTTATTCTTCTGGCTAACTGACCTGATTTCTCTAATGGGTAGAATGTTGGAAGCTCTTACTACACAGCAGCCAAGACAAGTGGATTTCTAAATCCGTAGGCATTGACTCCAGTGCGTAACCTACTAGATCAGCAGTTGCTCCTTACTTCTTCCACTTTTTGTCCTCAAAAACTGGAAAATTCCCTCTTCATCACTGTGTTTTTTAGTATGCTTGGGTAAAGAATATTTTCCCTCATATTCCTTTAGGAAAACTTGCCTCCTTCTCCATTTTTTTCATACCCAGGTCCCCAGACATTACCACCATTTCCAAAGACTGTCATCTTTGTAGTCAGCCTCTTGGTCTTGTTTCCCACCTATTTCCTTGTTAAGGATCCCACAGACCTCCCATTTCAGTGTAGCTTGGGTGACACTGGTTATCATTTGATGAGGCTAACTTTTCATCCCTCATATTGTTGGCTTCTAAATTTCGAGAGTCAGAGATGATTTTTTTTTCCCCTCAATTTTGCCACCTGGGGTTCCAAAGTAAGGAGTTTCTGACTGGGAATTGGGAAATCTTTCTGCTACTGATCAGAGCTGAGGGTTGGTTCAGAGAGTTAGGAAATCGTAACAGAAGTCAGGGCAAGCTCCCTGTTGACTAATGAGAAGATCCGAAGGCACTAGAATTTCCCATTTCTGGGTTAATACCCTGAGGGACTCAATTTTTGTTGCTCTGCTTCCTCTGTGTATCCCTTTTGTCTCTTCTTTCTTCCCCTTGCTCCCTATACTCTTACTTCACTCTCTGAATCACTGTCTCATTTCGATTGGACAAAAATCATTCTTTTGCACAATTCTCTCCTTCACTTTTTTTTTATTCTTACTTTTCTGGACATGGGACATATGTCTTCCTTACCCAATAAGTTTTGCCTTGGGATTGATCAAAAACTATTATCCAACTCAAATATACCTGGTCCTATTCCAGGCCAGTGAGCAAACTGTAGAAAGGAATCAATCTGATCCTGAGCCTTTC